ATCAATGACAGTGTGTGCAACTTTGTTCTGTCATGTCTGAGATGATGTTTGTATGAAATGTGGGAAAACTGAACATCAACACAATTGTCATCACGTGATGAGGTCATTAATGTTTTACATTTTCTGTCTGCAAAGTGCTGAAAATCTTTTTTCTGTAATCCTCCATACAACAGTGTTCAATCACTGCTTTTTGTTTGTGTGGGGGGAGGGGGTTTTTAATGGGCATCTGCCTCAAGCTTTGCTAGCAGAACAACACTTCAGTAACATCCTACTGCTCTAATTAGACAAACTAATCCCACCAATACAAAGCAGACACTGAGGGAAACAGAGCATTTAAGCCTTTAAGCATCCATCACCAAAACAACACTGAAGCTGCTTCACAGCTTAAAGAACATTTATATTTTGTCTTCCTCAATACAGAGGAAAATTGATTACATTTTGTGAAATCTGAAGACAGACGTGCCATTAGAAATTTATTATTTGCACCCACTTCAGTTTTACATCTACACTAAACTGGTAAACATGGTGACCTGATGGATTCAGGGCCTAGCTTCAGTTTAGTTTGACCAAATTTGAATTTTGTTGAGTGTTCTGGCTGTTTCTCTGCTGCTTCAGGACTCTTTCTGTCGGCTCTGGGAAACTGTGGGCCTGCATTTGTGTGCTGTTCCCTATTCCTCTGACCCAGTTTTTTGGTTACTTGGTCCACTCTGATGATAATAGGAAGCGCCCACATACCCTGCTTTACCCCCATTTAAAGACCCCAGAACATTTTTATAATAAAGAAACAATGGCATGTTTGCCATAACATGAAACGATTATTTCTGCAAAGAAACTTTGCAAATAACTAACTTGATGGTTAGATGAAATCCTAGTTAAGAAAATGTTTTTTATTTTTTTTATTTGGATGAACCTCATCATTTTGTTCATATTCTACAGAAACAAGTGTTTCAACCCACATACACCCTTAATAATCTTTGTTGCAGTGTGTTGGTTTACCACATGTGGAAGAAGTCAGGTCAGGATCTGTTTCTAATGTCATAAGATACTGTACTGTATTACACAAATGTGTTGACATGACAGGGTGAAACATTGTTGCATTTCAAAATGTTCAAACATATATATATAAACAAGCTGCCTAAAATTACATTTTGAGTCCCTGTTGGTGTAAAATTAAATTCTAATGATGAAAACTGTGATGCAAAGTATCCTGATGCATGCTCAATAATCTAATAATAAGGTGATGTATTTGGTATTTTGTCAAAGGTAGAGAGCTGGCTGGCATGATGCAGAGAAGGAAGGTAGAGGTTTTATGTGTCCATGAGACCAAGTGGAAGGACAGCAAGGCTCGCAGCATTGGAGCAGGGTTCAAACTGTTTTACCATGGTGTGGATAGAAAGACAAATGGAGTAGGGGTGGTCCTGAAGGAGGAGTTGTCAAAGAATGTAGTAGAGGTGAAAAGAGTTCAGATAAGGTGATGTGTCTGAATGCAGAAGTAGAAAGTCTGATGTTAAATGTTGTCAGTGTTTATGCTCCACAGGTTGGATGTGATGTGGAGGAGAAAGTTACATTTTGGAAGGATCTGGATGAAGTGATAGAGAGTATTCACAGGGAGGAGAGAGTGGTGATCGGAGCAGACCTGAATGGACATGTTGGTGAAAGAAACAGAGGGGATGAGGAAGTGATGGGTAGGTTTGATGTCAAGGAAAGAAACCAGGAAGAACAGATGGTGGTGGATTTTACCAAGAGAATGGAAATGGTTGTAGTCAACACTTGTTTCCAAAAGAGGAAGGAACATAGAGTGAACTATAAGAGTGGAGGAAGGAGTACGTAGGTTGACTACATCCTGTGTAGAAGAAAATTTAGTCATGTAAAGTCCAACTTTCTGTGACATGTTTAAAGTTTAAATGATGTTTCTGAGAAATAAAAAAAAGGTTAAAGACAAAACATGGATTTACCATGTCCTGCTCCTGGATGACTGAGAATATTCACCAGGATGTTTGGGAGAAGAACGGCTCAGCTGCACAAACAAAGCTGAGTCTTATAATAGGTTTAGCCAAAATGTGAAAAAAAAAAAAAAACGTTTCTATTTATTTATTTATTTATTTTTTCTTTTGTTTTTTTGATTTTATTTAAATTTTTGTGGGGAAAAAATTCTGTGTTTGTACGGCTCCAAAAGATCATAGAACATTATTACAGACCAAGATGCTTTGGTGTCTAATTTGCATGTTTTATAAAACTACATTCAGAGATACAGGGCAGACAAATACAAATATAAACGTATTATGGAGGATTCAGTGCCGCTGGATTTGCGCTTGTATTTAATCATTGATGTGTTGGTTAGCAATTGCTCCACATCTTCATGTCTTTTCTCACTCTTTGTTGTTTCAGATGTGGTGTAGTTGAAGACTGAGTGAACCATGGCACAGTTCCCCACCACATTCACAGGTCAGTATGTGCGCTCAAATATCCTAAAGGGGTTTAATGGAGGCTGTGCATAAAGATGGATTTGACCACAAGACCTGAATTAAATACAGAAAGTCCTTGGTGCTTCACAGGACTGTGTTTCTTAACATTACATATTGTTTGAGATCTCTTTTGTGCCTTTTTAAGTGCATGTCTTTGTCTAAGCTATCTCAATCTTTTATTACAGTTTGTGAAATCTGATAGAGATGACAGCAAACTGAGTCAAATGTTTGTAAACCACACAGTGTGAGATGTACTGGACCATAAACAGATTTATAGTGGTTACACAGAAAACATTGCCAGTTTTCCTCTGCAGGGCTAAAATCATCTGTTTATCACAGTCAGGTCTCAGCAACAGGTAACAGTGACTAAAGGTCACATTTTTAATCTCTGAAATAATAAGGGATTATAGATTAAGTAAAGCTCAAATTTACCGATACTCTGTAATACTTATGACATGACATGTAATATATTAACAAACGTCTGTGTTCACACGTTTGCAGCTGGGGGAGCATCAAATCTGATACATCTTCGCCCACTCTTCGTTGCCCGCACCTCCCATTCCCTGACCTACCTGGTCTTTTGCATCTAAATTTCAACAATGTGTTTAATGTCAGAACAAAGTGATGTGTATGCATGTGCTAATGCATCCAGAGCATCAGTAGACTTATGTACATTACTCAACTCCTGCTACCAGAGAGAGAGTGTGTGCTTTGAGATAAATGTTGCAACTAACTCAAAACCAAATAAATAACAATATTCCATGTTTGAAAAATCCTTTAAATGTGTGAATGTGTGAACAGTGGCATCCATAGTAGCACTCCTGCTCCAGATCCAGAAGACATCACGTGGATGGATGGACTGTGCTTATATTGAAACAATTAAAAAGCACAGTTTGGAATGCAGTGTTTCCACTAGGTTACTTGTCTTGGCAGGGCGCTCATCTCTTCTGTGATTTTTCTCGCTTGGGGTGGGGTGTCGAGACGGAGACACGTCTGTGCTGCGTGCTGTTTGTGCCGGCAGTTGTAGCCTGTCTGTATTGTGTGCCACTAGTTGTTGGTGGGGGGGACAGTTTTGCAGGCAGAGCTCTCAGTTCTCTTGACAGGGTGGGGCGTCCTCCTTGCATAATGGTAGGGAAACACTGGAAACTGATTGTTAACCCTAAAAAAAAGTCAGAAACAACTGACTTTCAACCCTAAATTTAAAAGGACTAAAGTCCTTTTGCAATTGGATATGAGTCAGCATTATTTCTACATCCATTATCTTTACCCACTTCTTCCTTTTTGGGTCGTGGGGGTCACTGGTGCCCATATCCAGCTCTCACTGTGCGAGAGGTCTAAAGGTAAATCACAAAGGTCAGTTCCACAGGATGGACTCACCCTGCTCTGAGTGGATCAGTGCTGGACTTTGACTAATGTAGCGTCTCGTTTACTTGTTCAAGAATAAATGCAGCAAAGTGGAAATCAAGCTGCTTGTAGACCACACAACGTTCAGACTAAAAGTTTGACTACTATCAGAGGAAAGACCCTGACAGATGGTTAAACTCACTTGTTTTAGGTTTGTTACAACTTACTGTCGTCAAACCAGACGATAATCTTTCAAACTGTTACAGACTATTTTACAAATTCAAACAGACGTTTACAATAGACTGTTTGTGTGATTAGATTTGAGGGACCTGATCCTTTTCATTCATGTAAGGATTGGGGCCTGCCATAAAAATCATAGGAAGCAACGCAACGCTCAGTGCTTCCTATGATTTTATCCACCAAGAGTCTCTTAACTAAAACATTTTAAAACTTTTGTTAACGTTAATGTGACCTAAATGGAAGAGTGCACACACACAAATGATTAATTAAACTAACCAACTCTTATCACGAGATGTGTGCTGTTTGTTTACTGTAATTTTTTTATTTATTATTGTATTTATCATGGCTGTCTTAAAGGGACAACCATGCATGTATGTTTTGAGTATGATAATAAAAAAACACACTCCTGTGTTTTGTACAGGAGTCAGTTTGCCAAAAGCAGTCTCACCGGAAATTAATGTAGAATGCTTCATATCCTGTCCAAGCTGTAAAGATATTTGAAATATCTCGTGAACCGCAAGGTGGGAAATAATGAACCTTTCACAAATTGCTCATCGGACAGTCCTTCACAACTTATTAGTATTTTGTGTCTGCCCAGTTCAAATTGGCCACCAGAGTTAACTAAAAATAAAAAATGGCTATCCATCTTATTCCTAGCCCCCATCCTGCCTTGCATGAATTATGGGCGCGGCTTCCAGCGCAGACCAGAACTGGCGTTTGTTTATGTGTGAACAGTACGAGCTAATGTAGTTTCTCCAGACATTGTGGATTTAATTTAAACATGTAGGAACACCACCTGTCAGAGCTCAAACAGGACAATATAATCATGCCACTGCCTGCTGAGGACGAGGGATGGAGGACGAGCTGAAGAAGTGGCTGCAGATTACATCTACTAGCATATTTAGCTACATCTACTAGCATATTTAGTTACATCTACTAGCATATTTAGCTACATCTACTAGCATATTTAGCTACATCTACTAGCATATTTAGCTACATCTACTAGCATATTTAG